ATTATAAGCAGTGACAACAGTTTATTTTCCTTTTAGAATAAAGATTTTACATAAATAAATAAAAGATGATCATTGCAAGCACCCCTGTCAGTGTTAAAAGTGATTGTAAACCTCAGACATGAAATATGAACAAAGCATATCCCTCTATAGTATGTCTAAGTTAAGAGCAGTAAAGCCTGGTATACGCCATGAGAATATTGGACATACAATTGTCCGTTTTTTTGGGGTTTTTTTTTACATGCTAGTCTCATATCAAAAATTAATTGGTTAATATGTTATTCTTGTAAGACAGAATATAACTTTGAAAGTAATGTAATGAATTGTATTGTAATGTATTCTTTCATTTCTGAGCATGCCTTGGTCACTCGATTTTTTACAGGCGAATACTATACTGACTAAAAGAAAACCGTTCGTTCTGCTATCTTACGGGGAAAAGTTTTGTTCTTGTCCCTCCGGATATTTTTGCATGAATTGTCATGATCAGCTCTCGAAAGTATTAATAATCAGATTATCGGATGATCACTTCGAAAGCAATAGTTTTCATCCGAGATTCTTATCGTTTGTGTGAGGCTTAAGCCCGAGTTCACACTGATGCAGTGCAGAATTTGCAGAGGTTTCTGTGTGTATTCCGCACCGCATCAGAATCGCACCCCATTCATGCAAACCACTGAGGGTGTGTATGTTAAGTTAACAACACCCCAAAATCGGTCCACAAAATGTGGTGTGATGTGCACAATCGGATCTCATGGGTGTGAATAACAATGCGATTTGCTTCTAGTGTGGACCAAAAAAACAGTCCTGTACCTTTTTGGTGCGGATGTGGTGCGATTTGAGCCATATAAAATGTATGGCTCAAATCGCACTGCACAGAATTTGCATGTGATCTGCACAGAAATGTGGTGCAGTTCCTGTGCAAATCACATGCTATATGCTGCACTGCACAAATGTGAACCCATGTTAAATGTAATTTCTCTCTGTTTCTTTGTTACTCTGCTATCAGCATAAATCACTTCTGACACGTTTTCCTGACACCAAGAGAAAAATGGTGACAGGGGAGGGACTTCCAGAAGATTGACAGTCTCAGCTCTGTTCCTGTGAGCTGTGTGGAGGGGGGGTTGTCTCTTTCCTCCAATCAGCTCTCAGAGCTCCCCTCACTGAATTCTGCAGAGTGTAATTTCAGCTCTCCATCCTCTTCTTTTCTGAACTCTCAGACAAGCTTTATAATATTAGCATGTTGAACAGATGTAGAGAAGAGAATGCAAATAAGCAGGTACAACATATGTAGGAGGATTTGTTTCATCTCTGTGTATCACCTGACACCACTCACTTCACTGGGTATGTAAGGGTTTAAAACCCACTTTAAATGGTTAGTCTCAACCCTCTAACTGCTACATCTGCAGGACAACTTGTTCTTTTAAAAAACATCAGACTAACTGGCAGGATCACAGGTGAAAATAAAAGAAAGAAAGCCTAAAAAAGAAAACGAATGAAGGCATCAAATGTAAGAATTTGTAAGTTAAGTAATTTTTAATATAATAAACGTTTGCTTTTGGGTTTTTATTACCACTGTATTGCTTTCTTTGCAAGAGCATATGTTCACTCTGTAGAATGAATGATAGTAAATAAAGTGAAGCCTTTTCATTTAAATCCCCAATTATATGCAAAAGAAATTAAAAAAACACATTTTCTAACACATGATTGGGTACATAAAGTAAACACAGCTTTACCATGTTCACTGACATTTCGTTTCCAAAGTGAACATACTCTTTAGAAAGTGAGCATGCAGACTTCACTCCTTTAGAAAATTAACTCTTAATTATGAGCGCATCAAAACTCCCTTCTGCCTGCTTTATAAAACACAACCCGACAATAGGAATAGGCAGGCTCCTTAGTGCTTGGATGGGTGTATCACCATCAGATGTCATTTTATATCTATATACAGATTTGATGGCACATTGCACAGGAGACGTGCACAATACATAGCTATGTAAGCAGTAAGCATAAGATACATATAAAATGTAACACTTTGTACAAACATTGTCCAGGAAACATGCACATTATTATGTAAACAGTAAGCAGAAGATACAAAAAAAGTAACACTTTGTACAAACATTGCATAGGAAACATTCACAATACATAACTATGTAAGCATAAGAAACATATAAAATGTAACACTTTCTACAAACATTGTACAGGAAACATGCACATTACTATGTAAACAGTAAGCTGAAGATACAAAAAAAAAACTTAACACTTTGTACAAACATTGCACAGGAAACATATACAATACATAACTATGTAAGCATACGATATATATAAAATCAAACACTTTCTACAAACATTGCACAGGAAACATGCACAATAAATAACTATTTAAGCATAAGATACATCTAAAATGTAACACTTTGTATAAACATTGCACAGGAAACATGCACATTACATAACTATGTAGCATAAGATACATATAAAATGTAACACTTTCTACAAACATTGCACAGGAAACTTGCACAATACATAACTATGTAAGCATAAGATACATATAAAATTTAACACTTTGTATAAACATTGCACAGGAAACATGCACATTACATAACTATGTAGCATAAGATACATATAAAATGTAACACTTTCTGCAAACATTGCACAGAAAACATGCACAATACATAACTATGTAAGCATAAGATACATATAAAATTTAACACTTTGTATAAACATTGCACATGAAACATGCACAATACATAACTCTGTAAGCATAAGATACATATAAAAATGTAACGCTTTGTATAAACATTGCACAGGAAATGTGCACAATACATAACTATGTAGCATAAGATACATATAAAATGTAAACACTTTCTACAAACATTACACAGAAAACATGCACATTAGTATGTAAGCAGTAAGCAGAAGATACATAAAAATGTAACACTTTCTACAAACATTGTACAGGACACATGCACATTATGTAAGCAGAAAATACATACAAATGTAACATTTTGCACAAGCATTGCACAGGAACACATGCACAATACATAACTATGTAACCAGTAAGTAGAAGATATATCAAACTAACCACAAGGATATGATCAAATAAAAAAGACAGAAAAGGGAATGTTGTATTCTTCACAGCTGGTGATACAAAAAAGCAGCATGAGATGTGAAGATAACACACATTTCATTACAGGAAAGAACTTGCAATTCATTAGGAATAGTAGAATCAAGAAGATTGAATAGATCTGTAACATTTGTCATACATTATCCTGAATAGCAATCTAAAACACACAGTGCATAGCACAATGCAGATCTTTGTTCCAATGATAGAAACAAACATCATTTATAGGTAACACAATTCGTGTCCCATGTAATCAGAGGATAATTTTGAGTCACTAGATTCAATTACACCGACTAAATAAAATAAATAACTGATTTAAACACCAAATCAAATGAACTGCCCTTATGCAACCTCAGCCGAAACATTAATTAGATATGTAGAGAGCTCAGCACAGGGATGAGAAATGGGGACTTCTGCCTTGCAGCACTGACCCAATATTACCCACTCTGCATCTGTGTGATGTCATATTTCTAATGAATGGCAAATAATACATTTCCATTAAAAAAAAAAAAGTGTGCTGTGGTCCTTTACCTCGCTGAACATCATTTGGCATCATAAATATAACACATGGAGGGGTAAGCACAGGGATCCTGGGGGATCTATAACACAGCACAGTACAAATTGTTCATTAAAAGAGATTTAGGGGCCAGCAGAGTTGCCCATGAACTCCTGTCCCCAGACTCGGTGACTTGGTGCAGCTTCTTGACAAGTATTACAAATGAGGGTGGGCGTCATATTGTTAGATGCTCTTGTCTCCCATGTTGTAACAAGTAAATAAATGTTGCTTACCTAACTGTTTCCTTTTAACCGGAGAACTGAGTGGGAGAGACTTATTTCCCAATCCTCACCCTTTAACAAAGACACAAGAGGAGAGGAGACACTTTCCTGACACCAACCCAGTGGGCTAGGAGTGGGACACCAAGATTAATGCAAGATGAAGGATTATCTCACAATTTGTTGGTTTTAGCTGCTAGACTGGTGTGTTTTTGTGAGTGGAGACAAGGCATCAGAAATCGGGATTTATGGATTATAGACAACCCTATGGCCAGGCTACCAGCAGGACAATCTCTTATTGTATGGTCTTGGTGGGATTTCATTGCACACAATGTTATAAATTGTTGTCAGCTATCAGTTGATTGCATTGCTGCACCTTTAAAACGATCATGTGCATTTTATGTATTTATTCATGTATTTATTTATCTATTACAAAAGAAAAGTAAAAAAATAAACACAAAAACAAAAACAAAACAAAAGGAATTGCCAGCATGATCCCTTTAAAACTAGCAGATGGAGAATCAGGAGGGGAAAGAAAGGCTCTTTCCATTAAAACAAAGTTCTCATCCAATTTGCCAGCTCTTTTTTTCCCCCTTTTGCTTGAGGTCTTTTAACACTTAAAAAGTCCTGAATAAATCCAAGTTTTCCTTTGGAGGCTCTGAAGAAAGATTCTGACGCTAAAGTGTCGTTATCAGATTGATGGGCCGGGTTTGATTGAAGTTTCTTTGTCATGCAAATGTCATGGGCCATGATGGATGGGCTCAGATATCTGACAAGCTTCAGGAGGTCCTCAGCCATTGGTCCCCTGAGAATCACGTGTCTTCTCAGTGAGAGACAGAGGGGTTTGAAGCCTGGCAATCTATGGATGGAAGTTTACAGCTTTGACATACTACCTAAAGGTTGTAGGGCAGGAGAAATCCCTCGAAACAGGTTGACCCTCCTCCATCTCTGGCAGATGGACAATACCAGAATGGGCTCCTTTTTGGACTATGCAATTTGTAACCGTGGGACTAGTGCCTACTCACCCAGAGGATACCACCATTTAGATCAAGGGACACCAACCTATCCAGCCTGCCCGGGTACCAGTGACATTTATAACGGTGATGGACGTTTTATGGTTGGGGGATCTGGTCCAGTCTCCAACCAGTTTCACCAGCAGAACCACAGCTATCATCATCTTCATCCCTCAAGCCCAAATTTAGCTTATGCCAGCTCCATCCCCAGCTACACATCACAGACTTGCAACCAGGGTTATGGGCACCAAGTCTACATCAGCCAAGAAGCAGAAGGATCCTATTTCCAGAATCAGCCTTATTCGACCAACACAGCTTCAAACACTAGCTCCTTATCAGAAGGATATTGTGGAGCTGTGCCAGGAAACGTGCATTTCCAGCAGCACCCCTATGGTCAGGAACACCAACCCTTGCTACAGGGATACCCCAACCATTCCCCCCTATTGCACGAGGACAAGGACCTCTCCTGCCAGCCTGAGCAGGCATCATCTAACCCGACTTTTGACTGGATGAAAGTGAAGAGGAATCCACCAAAGACCAGTGAGTATTAGACACTGAGACATGACTTATTACCTCTTGGTTGAGACTCAAGTTCAGTAAGTGTTAGTAAAAGTGGGTGAGGATCATTAGCAGCTCATCCATCTTGCGTGATGGCTGGAAGCCTTGCCCATGTTCACTGTTTAACTATCATAAACCTTTCACATAATTCATCTTCTCAGTAGCCCAGACTTATATATGTTAGGTTTTAGAATGGTTGTGATAAATAAAAAATAAAATAAATAAACCAAACTCATATTTTGTTCATGTAAGACTCTTTTCTTCTATCATTTAGTCCATGTATATGACTTGATATCAGAGGGTTATCTTACTGTACTTTACAGTTCGGTGGTTGCTCCCTTTAGCTCCTGTTCTCGTTCAGTCTATCAAAAGAGCATGGGGGGGGGGGGGGGGGGGGGGCTGCTGTATTCATGCCACTAAAATAGCTTGGAAAGTGAAATCGTACTGCTACATACCAGAGTTATAGTTGGAGTTTCACAGTTTTCCAGTTGGTGCTTCACAGTTTTTTAGGCTGCTTGCTCCCAAAGGCTATGCTTTCATCAACTCTATGCAAAGCTCATTGGAAAATCATAGGAAAGTCATATGAACATTTCCGTACCAGGAATGTTTGGCCAATTATCTGATCGTTAGTATAGTGCTTTGGACAGCCGATTCCGACTCTTTGGATAACAAAAAGGAGCATGCAAGCTGGAAAGGTTTTATCGAACGTGAATACAACGACCAATTTTCATTTAGTGTGTATAGTAATTGTACAGAAACAATTGAATAGAAAAAAATGTGCATGATCACAAGCATAGAACAACCCTACACTTCCTCTTCTACTACGTTAGTGCGTAGCTACGTTTACTTACGTTTGCCTTTGTCAGACCAGGATTTTCTTATAAGTCAATAAAATTCAGACATCATGATATACACTTTCGTGGAAAATCGAACGATCGGTCACCTGATTTTTTCATAGTGTGTACTAGGCTTAACATACATTAAAGTGAATAAATTAGAAAGTGAGTAGACTGGAAGTAAAGCTATACAGATATATTCCTGAGATCTATCTAGCTGGAGCTTCACAGTTTTTATCTTGGTTGCTTTCATAAATTCTTATCCAGACTATGAAGAGGTCACTGAAAAAAATCATTGAATACATGCCACTAAGAAATATTAAAGTGAATAGATTAGAAAGTGAGCAGACTGAAAGGAAAGCCATAGTGCACAGCCATGTAGGCTACCATTGATTGACTCTCCTTTTGAAAAATGTCTGTTGACTGGCTGTAACGTGATACAATGACCTCAATCCTTTTTGAAACATGTGCAGATCAGGACTGTACTAGCCCAATCCTTGTTCCAGGGCAGTATTGGGGCAGTCAATACTATGAGCCAGGTACTGAGGCCACCAGAACTTTGAGTGTCGATCAGCAATGCTTCAAAGTTTCTCTGTAGTGGATCCTTCCCCATCATAGATAGGAAGAGTTTCAGCTGACAGAATCTTTCTACAAATCGTTATGAAACTGTAAAACTAATTTTAACCTAATGTAACTAACTTCCCCCTTTTCTGTAGCAGCAAAACCCGCGGATTATGGGTTGACCTCCCAACAGAACAGCATGAGGACCAACTTCACCACCAAGCAGCTAACAGAGCTGGAGAAGGAGTTCCACTTTAACAAGTACTTGACCCGGGCCAGGCGGGTGGAGATCGCTGCCACACTGGAACTCAATGAGACTCAGGTGAAAATCTGGTTCCAGAACCGGAGGATGAAGCAGAAGAAAAGAGAGAAGGAAGGATTCACTGCTGGAGTCACCAAGGGTTCCTTAAAGGAGAACAGCGAGGCATCAGACCTGTCCAGCTCCACCTCACCTGACACCTCTCCGAACTCTATGTAAGGGACTGCCATGGACAAATCGCACTGGATAAAAAAAACGATTTTTTTTATGCAGAGGGTGTATATAGTCTATTTTCTTCTACAAAAACTCCTTATTTATATACAGACACTCGATTGTTTGAAATCCACTGAACAAAGGGAGCTTAGTCAGGTTCTCTCAGGGAACGTCTTATGATGTCACAGGAGATGCACTTTAAGGCACCTCCATTTGGTTGCTCTCTGGGTTTTATTTATGTATATAAAGTCAAATATTTCTTCCAGATCCCAACCAGATTGTTTTCACAAGGGTTCACTCCAAAAATAAGGGTGCGCTTATAATGAAACACATTTAAGGGGGACCACACATGTATTGATATGATCATTCAGCAGATCTTTTGATGCTATTAAGCCTATCAAATCGAAAATAATAGCAAAGAACCTCAAATCAATGAATTTTGTTTAATTTCAGCTCACCAGAATTTGTCAATCACTTCTGACTGCATCTGTGTTTGCCATAGAATCGATCCTAATACAGATCTGTTATTGTTTTTAAGCCATCTAGACATTTATCAGTAATCGATTGCATTTTTATTTTCGGTTGATAAATATTTATGTATGTTGCGTTAATATTTTAATTCATGATCAATGGCTTTTTTTTTCTTTTGCTTTTGCTCAGCCCTAGATCGATCATAAATTGCTAAGTGTATGATCACCTTTAAGAATTGGTTTCTCCTAAACAAACTGAGTTGAACTACAAAACCAGTGCCTGTAGACAGTAAAGAATGTGTTAAAAACCAAAATGATAATCCCGATTGCCTAATCTATGTAATATACTATGATTTCTATGTGACATTATTATATTGATAAGTGACAATTGCATTCAGGAAGCTGTTTGCCGATAAGAAGTAACTGTTCAAATTAATAGTTTTTTTTTTTCGGTGAAATACATGCGTTTTACTCACTGTAAAAAAATAAATTTTTAATGTTTTTTTATGTTTTCACCTTTAGAAATAAATCTACCTCAATTTAGGAGTAATAGTTGGCTTGTTTTCTCTATACGATGTACTGGGGTAAAAGGGAACATTGAGCTAGGCAAGTTGTTCCATGAATGAAACATTGTAAAAAGGTAAATAGGTGGAATTATCTCATTAAGGCTAATGGAGACAATTTTATGACTTGGGTTGTAATTCCATTTTAGATGAGCTGTGTTTATTTGAAGGGTTTGGAATGGAATGGTTTGCCACCAGTCATTATTAGTCACCTTTGGTGAGAGCTTACATTGCTGCCATTAAAGAGCTCTTTCAATGATAAATAACTAGAGTTAGGACAGAAGGATATGGAGTCTACAAAGGGAAGTCTTCGTGTTTCTGATCCTGAACACAACAAAAGCCTGCATAGCCACCATTTAAAAGTGAAAAGGGTCTCAAAGAGTGTTCATGTGAACATTTATTTATATTCCAGTATTCACACCCTGGAGACAGGATGGGAGTTTGGTAACTGCAAACTGCAAAAATTCTTTCATCCTGCATGGAATCTTTGATATTCAAGTGGCACACTTTTAAAGTTTGGCCATGGTTGTTTACAGCATCTAGCATCTGAGTTTTTTGTATTTTTTTTTTTGGTCAACGATCAAATCTATTTATTTCTGTCCATACGCCAACATTTTTTTTTTCTAAATATTCGATTTTCTAATGGTCAGTGGAGGTCAAATTCGTTTTTTGAGCACAGTGGCTACAAAATTGGAAGCAGTAGGATTGTGAAAAAATTCTAAAACAAACAAAATTCTACCTGCGAATGTGTTTTTTTTTTGGGGGGGGGGGGGGGGGGAATTGTACATATTGTAATGGAACCTGTTTATTGTGTCTGGGATTTCTTTCAAATTGCAGTTCTGCATGAAATTTTAAGGGCTTTCGAATGAAATTAGTTGACTTGATGGCAAGAAAGAATGTTCTGGCGAGTGACTTTTATAGTTGAATTGTAATGAAAATCTGCTGTGTATGGCCAATCTATGTATGTATGTCTCTCTCTCTCACCCCTCTCTCCCCCCCCCTCTTTCTCTCTCTCCCTCTCTCTCTCTCTCATCCAGACTTTCTCATCCTTTTAAACCTCTGAGGAACCCTTGAACAAATGTTCAGGTCCAGAGGAACCCTTGGTAAAACCAGTGAATTAGGGGGAAAAACACCTCTTACATTGGTGGTCAGTGGCAAAATGCCACTTACATTGGTATTTAATAGAAATAATGCTCCATACATTAGTTTTCAGTGGAAAAACTGGTCCCTACATTGATGGTTAGTGAGAAAAATACCCTTATATTGGTGGCCAGTGGGTAAAGTACCCTTCACATTGATGGTCAGCGGGAAAAAAAAAAAGCCTCTTACCTTTGGGGGGCAGTGGGAAAGAGTCCCCTTACATTGGCAGTGAGTAGAAAAAAATACCTCTTACATGGGGGGAGGGGCAGAGGGAAATATTCCTCTTACATTGGTGATCAGTGAGAAGCTTTAACCCCTTACATATAGCTAAAAAGAACATTGGTGTCATGTTTCTGACTGCCAAGTGGTGTTGGTCCCAGGACTATGGCACCTTCAGATGGGAGGTCAATCAGCAACAGCTCCAGGAATCCCTCGCAACCTTCAGAGCAGCCTTTCTCAACCTTTTAAACATAGAAAAACCCTTGAAATAACTTTCTGGTCTCAGGGAACCCCTGATAATATATCTACAACTCAAGATACATTAGTATGATGGTCAGAATGAAGAATGCTTCTTACACGTGTGGTCATTCAGAAGAATTCCCCCTTACAGATAGCTAAAAAGATCAATGATGTCAGTGGGATCTTATCAGAAATTGCTAATTGCTCAAGAAACCCCTAACCACCTGTGGAGGAACCGTGGTTGAGAAAACCCTGCTCTAGAGGAAACTTAGGGTTCAATGGAACCCTGGTTGAGAATAGCATGCTTATACAGTGGTACCTTGGTTTACGAACGCCTCGGTTAATGTAATTTTTGGTTTACGAATGAAAATCCATTGAAAATAATGCCTCGGTTAACAAATTTATTTCGCAATATGAAGCAAGTTTCCCCAGGATGCATTGCACCTGGGAGGGTTATAGTGCCGCCCCCGTGCATGCTAGAGTTTGTGGGTAGCATGTGGTGTCGAGTATGGTGGTATTGGAGCAGTTTTTGCATTGAGTTTTGGAGCCATTCTGGACATTTTTTAATCATGTCCCTGTACAGTATTCATGCCTTTAAAGTGCACTTTATAAAGAGTTTTGAACAGATAAAAGACTTTTTTTAAAACTTTTTTCTGACCTCCAGAATTGATTAATTGGTTTTCAATGCATTCCTATGGGAACCGCGTCTCGGTTAACAAATTTTTCGCAATACGAAGCGTCCCGGAAAACGCATTAGATTCATAAACCAAGGTACCACTGTATATATCTACGGTATTTACATGTCTTTCTATGTATCAGTTTGGTAAAAGTGATTGCAGATTGTAGCACAGTGGCTAAATGGTTAGCACTTCCAACTGGCAATACTAGGGTTGTTAGATCAAATCCCAACCATGACAAAACCTGCCTGGAGTTTGCATGTTCTCCCTGTGCCTGCATGGGTTTTCTCCAAGTACTCTGGTTTCCTCCCACACTCCAAAGACATGCTGGTAGGTTCATTGGATCCAGTCTAAATTGGCCCTAGTATGTGTATGTATGAATGTGAGTTAGGGACCTTAGATTGTACACCCCTTGAGGGTTAGGGACTGATGGGAATCTACAATATATATGTAAAGCGCTGTGTAAATTGACAGTGCTATATAAGTACCTAAAATAAATGTAGTCCAATAGGCTTCTCCATTTAAAGGAAACCTACTGTAATAATTTCACAACAAAAAAGTTGCCTGAAGCAGTAGTTCAGGCTATACATTTCTACAGAAAATTAGATGAGTGATGCTTACACCTGATTTTCTGTTATGGGCATTTTTTTTTTCATTGATGAGCCCTTATGCTGAAGGCGGGATGAAGTTTGTCACTTCAGTGGTAACAGTTCTACAGCTGTAGGATGAACTAGAAGAGATATGGACCAGACCATTTTTTGTAAATTTATAACAGAGGATACTGTCTCCAGTGACTAACCACCATCCGGCAATTTTACTACATCAGCAATTTTTGTATAAAAAAAAACTTCAGAAAATTTGACATTTACAATAAACGTATAAAAATAATAGAATAAATAGATATTATTTTATGGTAACACCTATAAAATACTTGGTGCTGGGCTACATGTTTTTTGCTTACAAACTGGGGTTGATTCATTAAAGGAATGGATTCCATTCACTTTGCCAGTCGAATGTTCACTTTGCAAAATGAATGATAGTAAATTAGTTCAACTTGTGTTCACTTTGAATACCCAATCACGTCTGAGGGAATTAATTTTTTTTGCTAACAGGACTGACTAAAGTTAGTTCAGCTTCATATTTTGCTAGGCTTAGGGAACATTCACTTTGTAAAGTCATCATTCATTTTGCTAAGTGAACAGTAGTTATTCCTTTACTAAATCAACTCCATTATATGTTGCTTTAGCCTTTTAATTAAAATTTATTAATTTTAGGATTTGGTTAAGTTTTATTCTTTATACATTTCTGTGAGAATGTGTCCTACAAGTGACCTTTTCCTGTATTCCTTACCTTGTTTTTGTCCAGGTGCTCTTAGGAATTGGAGACAGTGGAAAGGCCCTTTCTCCCCCTTTTGCCCATTTTCTTCTCAGTTTACCATTCCCTGACAGCTTTATTTTAGTCCAGTTTTTCGATGGCCTACTTCAATATTTACCCAAGTTGATGACCTGTCCCGGGATCTCCTCTTGGCAGTCCTGTCCTACAGGATTCTTCCCCCAGGCTTAGGTTCATCTAAAGTTCAGTTTGAAATCAAAGCATCACTGGCTAGGTTGGATGTCCCAGGACAGGCCCAGGATGGACAGCAGCTTAAGGTCATGTTAAGGTCTTCCTTCCCCTCCTGGGTCCCCAGTGACTCTGTT